TTATCGCGTTCTAACTTCTATAAGTGATGACTCTTATATACTGCTTTTTTAAGAAATATTAAAAAATCAAACAAACTGTACCAATATGTCTGAATGGACTTAAGCAAGAAAAGAGCTTCAAATTCCATCTGAGATGTACTAAGCTGGGAATTACTCACATATATAAAAGAAATTTATCGCGATAATCTCAAGATACAGCATACAACAGATATTCAAGGGAAGGAGAAGCTTTTTTCAACTTTTATCGCAGCGACAACATAGGTAATACTACATTCAGCAAACATGGAGAATAGGGAAGCATCGTCTTGATTCGTGCAGAGGATGGGATAATTGCTCTTCAACATCAGCTTTCCACCTCCGGAAATATCCAAAGTACATAACAGTTAACAAAGCACCTTCTTGATATTTCACATGATGACTAGTAAAAACAGTTTATATGTGAGCAACAAGGAAAACCAGCAAAACCAAATAGCACCCAAGTTGCTCGCACTGGGGTGCAAGTGTTCGATAAGGATGAAGATCTAGAAGTCGGAACTCGGATCCTTCCTGATCTAAATTTTAAGATTCGGAGGTACGGATCAAAGTATGAACATGGGTGCCAATACAAAATAAAATAACCGAAAATTGATATTGGTAAAAATATTATAAAAAACAACCGATTAAACTAAACAATTGACAAATAAAAAGGTGATGGTCCAGACTAATAACTGCTTGACATATCTAGCGAGGATTTGTGATTATGCGAGAGAGCTGCTCTGTTAAGCCAGCCAATGATGGGAGAGTTACCCCATCTACACACACTGCTATGTCAAAGTATTATTAGTGTTGGAATAACAATACTTCATACTACACCAGCATCGCATAATCCCAAACGAACCCTCTATTTACGTCAAGGCTTGAAGCTTTGATTTGTCCCAATCATCTTATTACTCCCACTTAGGTTACAAGCTCACACTACTGAGCTCAGCGATATACAGTGTCTGTTGAGTTCTTATTAAATGTTTGTATTCGTCTTCTGCCACCGGTGTGGGACAAAGACACACTAAATTCTACATTGAATGTTTTAGCATGTACGATGATATGCCTAGCAAGTCAAAATCGCATACGCTAAACATACGATGTAGGATTTAGTGTGTCTTGTCCCACACCAGTGGCAGAAGACGAATACAAACATTTAATAAGAACTCAACAGACATTGTAAATCCCTGAGCTCAGTAGCGTGAACTTGTAACCCAAGTGAGAGTAATAAGATAGTTGTGGCAAGCCAAATCTTCAGCCCTTGACACAAATAGTGGCGTTGGTTTGGGTTTATATTAATAAGCGGCTAGTTTGATGCTGTCAAAGACCAGTTCGCGCACACTCCCAAGTCACCACTAGAGATGTCATGTTGTTATTGGTTTGGACCATCATCTTTTTATTAGACCTTACTCTATTAATATTGTTCTTGTTTCCTTATTAATTAAGTTTTAATTTAAAGAGGATTATTACTGAATGCCTTGTATCAAACAATAAAATTCTACCAAAGGATATGCTTAGTGTTATTGGCGTGTTTATTACACGTCATGATTTCCATGTCCCTCGCGCTCTATATTCCAATTCTATCTAGAGGCACAACATCCCCTTAAAACAACGCTCAAAAAGAGCCAAAATGTCTATGGCATTTACTTTTGAGTGTTGAAGATACCAAACATTACAACCAAATAGTTGTCTCATGGAAATATGCAAAAAGGAAAAAGACAAACAAGATCTCCAAGTAGATGAGATGTAAAGGTGCGAGTATCATATGCAAAGTCTTTTTTTTATAATAATAAAGAAACAGAAAAATATATAAGGCGGGATTCTTACAAGTCATTACCAACAACACTGTCATCCCTCTGAGCTTCAGCAGCCTTCACTCGTGCTTGGTTCGTTTTGTAAAAAGGGACAAACTAGACTAAATGTAGATGTTTGACACAATATAGCGACGAAACTTAGCAACCTTTGTATATCTGACAGATTCATCCTCCAGATTGTATATCAGGTAAGTTGATTTAGACAGAATCAATATCTCACCTTTGTTTGACATACATAGTGTCGGAGAAATAACAGGAGGAATAACATAAGTAAAGAAGCGTTTGTATATTTGATGGTATACATTTTTTTCAACGACCCAAACTCTTTCATAACCCACACATCTGCATGACTTTCCCTAAAAGAAAACACAAAAATATCATTTCCCAACACTCCCACCGACGGAAAATTGCCTCCTTCTTGATCAGAGCAGGGCTTCTCCACCTTTCCCCACTTTTCATCAGCCAAATCAAAAGAAACTATGTACCAATCAACCGATGTATCTAGTCCAGCAACATTAGCGGGCCAATATAGCTTCCCGTTCAAAACCTGACCAAAAACATTTGATATCCCCTCACTCGGGCAATCATCAACACTTTTCCAAAAAATAGCTTTTAGACTATATAAGTTAACCTCACCTTGAAGTGGACTCTCAGATTTATTAACAGACACTACCTTATAATCATCGTGAAATTCATCATATCCAAAACCATATATGTGGCTAGTATGAAGCCTATAATTAGGAAACTGTTTGAACTTCCTAATTGACGGATTCCACATAAACATTTCAGCTTCCGCAATCGCAAGGCAAAAAATCCATTAATTGAACCAACAACCCAAACATGTTTTCCCGCGTCATTCATTGGATAATCCAAGTTACAATCCTCAATCACAGAGTCATTAAGTAACGAACTAACGGAGTAATTCTTAAGAAAGTATTGATATCCCTTAATAGGGAAGTGCCTATAGGTCAACACAAGGCTATGTTGTGTGTAATCTTTGTTATCAGCCAAGATTCGATATTTCTTAACATGATTCTTGATAAATTCAGGGCTCGATATTAAAGAAAGCCAAGATTTCGATACAAACCTGAATTTCCAGAGGGATTTCACTGGAAGTAACATGATTTTAGTGACGAGTTCTGATGGCAGAGTACGGATTGAATGGACAATGATTTTGCCTTTGAAGACTTCATCTTGTATTTATGCTGTGGAGGCAACTATTTTTCCACAAATGAAGACCTAAAGGGGAGACAATAATAATTTGGGCCCTGAATTCTAGTTTTTCTTCTTCTTTTTAATTAGGAAAAATGACATTAATTGTGTTTTTGTTTCTAACCAAAAAAATAGCCCAAGTTTCAGCTAATTATCTATTTGGTCATTAACTAATCAGGTCTATGTCTATACTTAAATTTTGACCTTGTTGTTGCTTCACTTGGAAATACTGGAAAGCTGAAATGTTAAAATTTGACTTGTCGTAAATTTATTCGACTAAGTAATATATCAAAAGAAGTGAAAATATTGAGAGTAGCTCATATCGAAATTTCAGGACAAGTTTAGACGATATTTGAGTTGGATGTCTGTTACAATCCGTCATTAAAGAGCTTCGAAGCTCAAATTTAAAATTCGACCTGCACCAATATATAATCAAAACATCTAGAGGAGTTAATCTGAAAATTTTAGGAGTGTTTAGAAGAGATTTGAGTTGGATGCTTTAAAGCTCAGATTTGAAACTCGACATGCTGCAAATGTGAATCGTTTCGACTTTCAAGTGGATAATATGTAATCAAAACATCGACAAGAGCTCATATCTAAAATTCATGAAGGTTTAGATGAGATTTAAATTGGTCGGAATTGGAAAAATAAAATCAGCTCATGACAAAGATGAATTGCTACAATGTATTAATATTGTATAACAGTGTCATTGTATATGGATGTATATCTCCGATACATAGTTACATGTCATATATACATGGTTATACTTATTTATATAATATCAATACATTACATACACATGCGGATATTTTAGTTATGAAAAGAATATGATTATGTTGTGTCAATTTCTTAAAAGGGGTTCTTATTCATTGATTACTTCCCTGATTCTAGTTCCGATATCATTTGATGCCTTTGCTACTAAATATTTTATAAATTAGGGAACTTTGCCGCACTTTGTGCAGTTATTGAAAATTCAATTCACAACGTACAAATATTTATTGTTAATAAAGATTAACAAATTTCCGAGTTAGAGACAGTGAACGGTGAAAATAAAGATTTTGAATCAAAGCAACATGAATCTGTGTAGTAACACAAACAAACTCGCGCATTTTATGGCGCTTTTCAACTCAGAGTCTCATGTAGGACATAATTGCCGCTAAATCGGGTTATTTACATCAATTATTAATATTCAAAAATTACATCTAAACTATCCCAATCTTTTGAATTTCATACCTGAACTATAGCTCAATAGTTAGCGAAACACATCTAGACGTTGACTAGACCAAATGTTTGTCTACAAATGCTTCTAGGCGCGTTTGGCCATAAAATCTTCCACCTCACATATATACCGGCTCTCTTGGTGAGCTGATGTGAGTTGAATGAATTCATTAATTTTCTAACAAAGAGGGAAGATGCATTAACATTGTGTGTGTGTGTAGCAGAGGGAAGATGCATGAAGTTCAGCGCAATCTTGTTCAACCTTTTGTAACGAATCACGATCAAAAGGCGAAGCCATGATTTTAACTTTATGAGCTTTAAATGGCCATAAAATCTCCGTCCACCTGGCATATATAGCTTGCAACCTTCATTCTTGTTGTGTTCTTCGTTCATTTTCACGTTTCGTGAAAGGGGGCAAACTAGGCTTTCAACATAGATATTTGACGCCCTTAATGTCATGAAAGTTCACGTGAGTCATTCGTAAAGGTTCATACAAAGAAAGAAAATCAAAGAACAAGAAACAGAAACAAATACTTGCACGTTAACAAAGAGTGCTAAAGCCTTTACCGGCATTAGCTAATTGTCATTAGATTCAATGTCGCTATAGGCTTTAGGAACTTTTACAAAGAGTGTTTATCGCTAATAATTGCCTCAAAAAAACAACTTATTTAGCGGCAATCAAGCTATTGTCGTTAATTAATAGCCGCTAAAGATCATTTTTTATGCAGTGTTAATTCTCTAATTTAATAAGATAATAGGTTGATCATTAATCCAATTATCAGTATTAATGAAGGACAAATCTGTCAATGACTCCACCATATCTTTGCTTAGCTTTTTCTCCCATTTAACTCTCTTTGATGTGTCTGCTCCTGATCCATCACACTCTGCTTCTGAGAAAGACAATTGCTTCCTAAAACAAACCAAAAAAAAAAAATAGTTTAAAAAAAAAATCTTAAAATACAAAAATTATGTCGAGGGAATCTAGTTGTCACAAACACTAGGTGATTTCTTCATATCTGTTCAAGCCTTGTTAGACAAATTTACCAAGTACCTGTGCTGGTGGAGGTAGTCGATACCCCTCAAAATTTAGTCGTGGTGCCTGCAAGTTGATGCGGACACCACGAATATTCCAAAAAATATATAGATATAAAAAAATCTCAAATTTACTTTCTAGCTAACACAAACACTAGGTGATTTTCTTTATATCTGTCCAAGTTTTTATAGACAGATTTACCAGGTACCTGTGTTGATGAGAAGTAGTTGATACCCCTCAAAATTTACTCGTGGTGCTTGCAAGTTGATACCGACACCACGAATATTCCAAAAAAAATAAAAAATGTTGGGGGGGGGGACTTACTCATGGCCTTTGTAACTCCAAGCATCCCAACCTATAGGATCAATGATGTTGGAGAGGGAGGTTTTATAAAATAGAACTCTAGCATAAGCCCTCCATGCCCTTCCTAAGAATGCCTTGCCTGTCCCAATAACTTTACAATTTTTGAACACAAATGCACTTGCATCATTTGGATGTGATCTTCCTTGTGCTGTTATAAATCCTCCATAATTTTGTGATATTGATCCAGCATTCACCAATATTGTACAATCCTATTAAAACAATATACATGTCATTTGAATAATCAGATCAGACGTGTGATATGAAAATTTCATGTACGGTTCTGTATTAAATCCTATAGATACATGTCGTTTAAACAAATTAGATATATAATGTGAAAATTTCATGTACGGTTCTGTATTCAATCCTATAGATACATGTCGTTTAAACAAATTAGATATATAATGTGAAAATTTCATATAAAGTAATAGTAAAGGTAACTTATCTATCGATTTCTCTACTATCATTCCAAATGAATGAAACTATGTTTTAAAATTACCGATTATATACTCAGTATTGACCATAATTTACAAGAACATTATGTGTAGTCATAGTAATAGAGGAAGGTTTTTTATCCTCAATGTAGGATTTATTGGCACGAAATAAAATTTAATTAGGCCTAACACAGATATCAAACACCAAGTGAAACAAAAAATCAACATAGTTCTTAACCTCACATTACCTTACTGAATAACTAAAGGTATCCAAGGCCTATGTATGGATTTTAATTCATTAATTGTCCAATGAAAGGTAAAGACTATAATTAACTAGTAAACTTTGTTTTTCCTACTTTTTTAATTTGTATTTATAAATCATTTGACTATAAAATTGTCCTCAACTCCATTAATAAAGAAGACAAAAATCTTAATGTGTTCATACATATCTAAAGAAAAAAATTACATTAATTAGGGATTAGCTAAAGCATCAATTATTATTTTAAAAAAATTGAATATATCTCAAAATATTTATCATCTTAAAAAAATAATTAAGAAGTTGTTTACCCCTTCTGTTTTAGTTGCTACGATTAAATTAAATTGCTTAATTCGATATAAATACCATGTGTGTACAAGTATTTACCACTAAATACTCATTAAAACTATTAAACATTCAAAAAACGTACCAACCAGATATCGTAACGTAACGTAACAATAAAAAAGATTACCTCATAAATTGATTGACCACTGCCAAAAATGAAATCCATGGCTCCTTCAATTGTACATTGCTTGAAATAATGTTTGCCATTATCATCCAATAAAGTATCTTGTAAACCAGAAAAAGCACAATCATAAAATGATGTTTTATCCCCAGAAACCAATGTTGCTAATGCTGGTTTCATTGGATTTTTTTTATTCATAGGTGGATAATTGTAAGAATTCTACAAAAAAAAAAAAAGTTAGAAATTATATTTTTGAAAGAAAAAAAAAACTTAATATTAGGATTTAAGGTTTCTTACTGTAAAATTTAACTTTTCCACAACAATATTTTCAGCAAAAGAGGAAAAAGTTGGGCTTGTAACAAGTGAGTCATGACCATCCCATATCACAATAGTATTTTTCACATCTGAACCTTTTAAATAAATAAAAGGTTTATCAAGTGGAATTGTCACCTGTTCCCTTCATGATTAAATGCAAAAAAAAAAATTAGTCTTTAATTAATACCAAATATTGAAACAAGAATTTTGAAAAAAAAAAAAATATATGTATGATGTATATATATAGATTGAGATGAATATATAAATTAGACTCGATAAGTTTATGCTATAAGAGACACGTTTTTTTTTCCATGGGCGTGGGGATCCCCGTAAATCCATTGAAAAGCTGGGATTTCTGACAGCACATTTCATACCTATTACTCGAAAAAAACGTTGGATAGAAGTTTAGCTCAAATTATGTATGTGTAAGAGAACATAACTAGCATATATATACAAAAAGATCAAACGGAATCCAATGATTCTAAATCTTGGATTCTTCGCTAGATTTGGACTGTTATTAGAGATATGATGTGAAAATCTCATGTATAGTTCGGTAAAGTAATAGTAGAAGTAATATATGTATCAACTACTCTACTATCATCTTCCCAAATGAATTAAACTATGTCAATTGTATCCCTAGAAGCTAGAATAGATTTGAGTTGAAATTACTGTTTATATACTCGGTATTTACCATAGGAGTTCACGCTATTAGAGACACGTGTATTTTTATGGAAGTTCTCATGATTGCTTTCTATAAAAAAAAATGATTTCCACCAAGCGTAATTCATACAGATTCCTCGAAAAAAACGCTTTTGACAGAATTAATTATATCTAGCTCAATCTTGAGTGTAAGAGTTCTAACACATATACCAAAAAAGAACAGAATCCAATGACTTTAAATCTTGAATTTGCCTCTAGACTCATTTTGTTTACAACATACATGAATAAATCATTTTCCACCAAGCACATCTCATACAAATCCCTCAATCAAAATAAAAAATGATCAACATAATTTATTATGTCTAGCTCAATTTATAGCACATATACCAAAAAAAACATATAGTGACTCTAAATTCTGAATTCACACATAAATAAAATAGGAAGAGAACTATAGCACATATATCAAAAAGAATAGGTATCGACTCTGAATTCTGAATTCACACGTAAATAAAACAGGAAAAGAAGAGTGTAGAGCATAGAGAAGTTACTTGTACAAGCCAGGTCTGATGAAGATACACACCCAATGAGAATTATTAGAAGGAATTGAATCAATAGCAGCTTGAATTTTCTGAAATTGAGCAAATCCAGATTGATCAACATAAATTGTTGGAATAAATCCAAAAATACTTATTCCAATTGATGGCCATAGTAAAACTCTTCCACTTGCTAAACCATAGAACAAAAACAAAAACACTACACTTTTAAAAAAATGTAGTGCCATTTCTTGAAACTTGAAAATATTTTTTTTTGTAAGAAAATCAAGAAGGAACCTTAGGATATATATATATAGTTTCAAGAAAAAAAAAAGTTATGAAATGAAAAGTCAAATTGAAAAATGGGGTAAAAGAAAAGTCACATTAAAATTCATGAGAAATGGTTTTTATGTTTTTTTCAGACAAATGAAAAGTCAAGAGTTGCTAGTTAATAAGTAATTAGTAGATAGTAGTGGGGTAGTAATAATAATTACAAATTTAATTAACTATCCCAACTAATTATTTTGGTATAAAGTTAAAATAATTTATTACTCTTCTCTCTCTTTCATAATATTATGTTTTATTTGTGGTAATTAGTCGTAAATAAAACTAGTAAATAAAAATAAAAGGTATAATTTTGTAATCTGTATAGATGTGATATAATTTTTCCTGAAATATGTATTTCAAAAAAAAAAAAAAAGTGTTTGTTCAAGTATTTTTCAAAAAGATTTTGTAATTTTTTGAAGAAATATTTTAAGAGTGTTTTTTAAATTATTAAAAGTGTGTTTGGAAGTCACGTGATAATTGAATTTGAGTGTAATTGAATATGATTATACAGTTTGACTTGTTTGTTTGACTTGAGAATAACTTGGTTAGACTTTAAGTTCGCACATTAAAACATGTTTGACCAAAATTCGAATTCACGCATCACAGGTCTCAGGGGATTACTTTAGACTAGATTTTTCTAATTCCCAAAGACTTAAATCTTAGATTTGTAATTAAAAATGACAATATCTCAATCATTCTAACACAATCCATATCGATCAAACTTTCCATTTTATCACCCACATACCTCCTCCCTCTCCTTGTCTCCTTCCCAAAATTTGCAAATGCAATCTTCCAATGTTTTAAATTTTTTTGTTTATTATTTATTATTATATCAAATTTTAATTAAAATACCTCACAATTAATTTACATATATATATATTTGTCACACAATAAAACATATCTATGTATTAGACTAATTTTTTTGTTAAATTTGTAATTATATTTGTCACAAAGAAAATTACATTGCAATTACATTCTAACAAACAAACAGGTCATGATAATTAATATACGGTATAATTATCAAATTATATAATTACACCTGATAATTACATAGTGCTTTCTAGTCAAAATGGACAAATCTTGCATCGAAAAAAACAATGGCAGTTTATTGTTGGTTGATTTCACTATTGAATTAATTAATATTATTAAATGCAATTAATGGTTTTAAGCAAAAAACGAAGGCGTGGGTTAGTGCATTAATTGATGATTAACTAATAACCACTATTGATACTTGTGAAAGCTTCCTTTGAGGCCCAATAATTGCAAGATCAAATAAAAAATTATTTATCCAAATAGGTAATTAGGGTAAAATGATGTAAAATTGGGCTAAATTATTAAAAAGAATGTAAAATAAAATAGTGTTGACCGTCTCTTTTCAATCATGCTTTGAAACTAGTTATCGTAGAGTTTCAAATTCAACAAATAAAACTTCAAATCATGAATAAGCTACCATATAAATATGATTTTTCAGTTTATGGTTCGACATAAATATCCATTGTGCACAAGTATTTACCAATTATATATGTTGTTTCATTGTTAAGATTCATTTAAGAAAAACTTTCCATATGTTATAGCAAAAAAAATACACGAAAAAACAGGGAAGAGTCTGATCAAATGACGAAAATATTGCTAAAAATGCAAACTGTATCCCCTAACAAGGAACAAACTAATGTCAAAACATCAATCTTCATCAAAATTGTACTTCAAAACAAACTATATTTCAACTTCAGTACTTGATTGGAGCAATAACCGCGAGTTGAGGACCAAGCTTCTCCTCAGCAGCTTTCTCGGCCTTGACCCTAAGTTTTGCTAACTGCTTTCTCCTCTCATATGTTACTTGAGCTCTCTCCTTTCTCTTGTTCTCAAGATCCTGCGGTAAATCATAAACAATGGAGAAGTGTCACCATCGATGCAAATTACAAGAATGAAAGCTCAACACATTTAGCCAGGGCCTGTAGTTTAGATGAACAAGGGCAAAGCAAAAAAGAGGAATAACACTAGTTGCTACTTAGAGAGAATCGATGTAGGGTAGAAGAGAAGAAACTAACCCTGATAGTATCATAATGGTTCCATCCGACCTCTGATGAAAGCTTGCCCAAGAGACAGTATTTATGTCCAGCACGGAGCCTCAATACCCTAGTTACAAAATAAGGTAAAAACTTCAGTACTACAAGAAACACTAAACAGTAATAAGCTATGACTGCTGCAGTGCAACTCACTTAAGTGCATCGGGAATGACCATCCTCTTGATCTTGTCATATGGGGGTGGAACACCCTCATAAACCTTCAAACGGGCAAGTGCAGCAGCTCCACGCTTAGTTTTGTGGGGAATCATCCTAGTATAAAATGAAGACAGACACTATCATTCACAATTGTAGAAGTAGAAGGAGCTTGCAATACTGGCCTAATCATCAAATATATTGTTCACGATACAGTAGTTCTAAAGGTACTAATCCCAACTGAAAAATTCATCAAAGGAAAGGAAAAACAAAATATTTAGACTGAGAAACTGAGTTGTAGTCTATAAAACACATCAACTATGCCTAAATCCCAAATTAATCAAAACCATCTACAATCCACTCTCTTTTCAACTCGATAACATTCCAATACAAAGCAGTTACCTTCCAATGCAAATGGTTTTTCAAAACTAGAGTTTATCTTAATTCACACTTCTATAGTACATCATACACTCTAACTAAACTAAATAAAACTTGGGAGAAACGCCATATCCATCAACATAAAATTAAACAATGTTGCATCACTTGGACAGTCATGCTGATATATGCTAGGAAAGGTCATATCTACTAGTAGAAAGAACTTTCTTGACAAATTAGTGAACCCACTAACACACAAACCAAAATCAACATTGAAGCAGACATTTTTTACCTACAGATAAATACAGTATTGCACAAACTACCAACATGATCCCGAGCATTACACAGATACCCCTAAATTTTACTCCAACAACATAAACTATTCTGTATCTGTTCTAGTCAAAAATAGATGTTACATCCCAAAAGACTAGCCAAAAGTTTTTTGTACCACTGTAATACTTATAACTTCATATATACATCAAAATGAATACAAAATTCCACTTCACTTTGTAAGCTAACTAACTGAGTACTGTGTCAACTACTTCAGTTTTGTCACTACAAATTAAAGATCTTCACTTTCTGAATGTAAGTACTGAAAACAAGATCAAGTTCAGTTTTTTTCTACTACAGAGACCATTCCTGGCTTGATGTTGCTAAGTTGACAAAGCTCTATCGTAAAAAGATGAATGTGCCTTGGCTATTTATCCAAAGTTCTTCCAAGATAATTCGATTACAAAATAAAAATTTAGAA